CTTCAACAAACTGAAAGCACTTAAAGCTTGGAGTATGACCCTTGAGGAATAGAAGCAAAAGAGAAACCTGTGTAGCTCAACCATGCCCCAGCAGAAGGCCATGCATCAGTGAATATCTAAGCAGTACAAATGGACTTAATGGGGAAAAATTAGAGACAGAGTTGGGTAGGCAGGGAGGGATTAGGGATGAGGGTGAATGTGGCCTGAACTCTTTGTATGAAATTATCAGAGAATAAAAAATGAGAGGCGAAACTCCAAGTACTTGGAAATTCAGAACACGTTTCTAAACAAATAATCCTCAGAGCTAATAGGAAATCTTAAGGGGAATATTGAAGTATACCGAATGAGATAAAATGAAAATACAACACAGGAAATTTTTTGAGACACAGCAAGAACAGTGCTGGTGGGAAATTACAGCGTAAACTAGTCTTAAAAACTATTAATTTTGCATCACTGACACTGGCACCTCAGGTGTCTAAAACAAGGAAGGGAAAATACACCCAACATGAAAAGGAAGGAGCTGATAAAGAGCAGAAAGAAACGGAGATGACAAAACTTATGAGCAGCAGGAACAAAGCAGAGGATATTACCTCAGCGCCATTAGACACCAGAAGGATTAGCAAGAAGTGTGTGAAAGATGGAGCACACTTGACTGTGCTAACAGAAGAGATGAGCTGATTTCTCAGAAAACAGAGATGCTGCAAAGCACCTCCATGAAATTTGGCAGACTCAATTACTGGTTGAATTTGTATAGGCCTATAACCCTCAAGGAAATTAAATTTGTAATTTTACAAGTCTTCAAAAGGAAATTTCAGTCCCAGATATTATTATTGAAGATTTCTCCCAAACATTAGGAGAATTAATAGCTAAACTTCATTTCCAAAACAATTATCACATGCCTTCCAGAGAAGAAAAACAATCAAATTCCAATTCACTTTCTGAGGCCACTATTACCCCTTTATTTTGTAAATATAGATGAGACTATTATTACATTAATATGAGAAATAAAGGAACTAGAAAGGATGAATGTGTTAGATGGAGTGAACACACCATTTCTGTGATTCATGAGGTGCTATACAGTATGAATTGTTAGTAGAAGGGCTAACACATAGATCAGTTGGTCAGAATAGAGGAGCCCAAACACAGATCACCACAAACTGACACACCTGATTTTGAGTAAGATTCTTAAGTACTTTAATGAAATAAAGGCAGTCTTGTTAGGAAATAATACTGGTGTAATTAGATATTAAAAAATTTAATTGACCTGCGATATACTTTTCACATAACATGTAAAAATTCAATGAAAGTAAGTCCTCGGTGGAAATGTAAAAAAAGGTATAAAATTTTTCACGTGAGAGAGATCTTTTGTTGTCCTATGAATACCCAAAAAGGCCTTAGACATGGTACCAAAACCATGACTTGTAAGAGACAAACATGACAGACTATACTTAATTACATTGGAAAATCTTTTGCTGTGCAAAAGATAGAAGTCAATAAATGGACTTTTATAAAATGAAACAGCTGCTTTGAAAAAGACAATAAGACATAGAGTTGGGTAGAGTATTTATAGAACAATTTGAACAGAGGAATGGCAGTTGATGTGCATTCACTAAAGTTGCAGAAGAAAAACAATGACTTACCTACCTTCAGAAGCTGTCGCCTGCCATCTGCTCCTAAATGATGAGGTCTCAGTCAGTTTGATTCAGTAGTGTGGGCCATGCATAGGTTGTCCACAGCTCAGCTGCTGATCATTTATCCATTTGCATACAGACAACACTAATTGTAATCTCAGTGCATTGTAAGGAAGAAAAAGGAGGAAGAGAGGAAGAAGAAGTGATCTTGGGAGGAGGATGATGTGAGGGTGGAGATTCCTTAGGAGTTGGAGAATGGGGTGAGTTTGGGTATGTTCTACATATACTGTACTCATATATGAAATTACCAGTAGCACAATTAATAAAAACCCAGAGACATATAATGGGGTTCAACCTGAAGGCAAAACAGCCAGCCACTGGCTCTTACCTCTACCTCAGTCCAAAATGGCTGTTCTGCTTCCAGCAATCTTCAGAATGAGACTGTGTGTGAGATCTGTCTCCCATCTTACATGCCTCTCTAGGGCTGGGATTAAAGGTGTTCACCACTACTGCCTGGTTTCTATAGCAAATTAGTTTGTCTACTGGGAATAAAGGTGTGTGTCACCACTGCCTGCTCTGTGAAGCTGACCAGTGGGGCTGTTTTACTCTCTGATCTTCAGGCAAGCTTGCTTTATTTATTAAAATACAAATGAAATATCACTACAATTATTGAAGAATATGTAAGTTTAAGAAACAGGAAGAAATACAGAAAATAAAATTTTACTAGGAAACAAAACAAAATCATTCCAAACTAGAACTTGCATCAAAGAAAGAAAAACATGTTACTGTACAATACATTAAAAAAATTCAATCTCATTAGTCATTAGAAAAATTTAAACTGAGATTGCAGTGAAAGATCATTCACACTTTCAGAACGCCTAAAGTGAGGGAAAATGACACCAAATATTGCTCGCGCTGAGAATTAGAAAATCACTTATTCATCATTTGTAAGGTTGAAAAGGGTAGCACCTTTCCGGAAGATAATTTGGCAATTTCCTAAAAAGTTGAATATACAACTAACAAGTGGACATTTCCCTAAAATTTTTCCAATATATACTGACACAAAATCCTATGAACATATGCTTATAGAATCCATGGAGTAATAGCCTAATACTCATAGCTACCCATATGTTGTCAGCAAGTGATGATTAATTTGTGGTATATCTATACCATGACATTTACTGAGCAATAAGAAGAATAAATTATTGATACTTGATACACTGTGATTGAATCTCCAGATAATTACGCTAAATGAAAAGCCAATCCATATAGCTTGTGTACCATATGATTCTCTTTATAGCATTGTCCAGGTCTTGTTTCTGCAGTCATTTCTAGTAGAGTCTGCTTCACAGTAAATCCTTAAATACCCTGGCTCTTACACTATGTCTGCCTTTTCTGGGACATTCTCTGAGGCATAGATGCGCACACTGTGATGAAGATATATCTGTTGTCCTTAGGCTCCTCACAATCTTTTAATTTTGGGGAGCCTATCATGCTCCCCAAGTATGGTTTTCTGTGATGTTCTCCATTTGCTGTAAAGAGAAGAGAAGCCTCTTTGATGAGGGGTTGTAGGTAGAAGAGATGTAAAACGCTGGTCGAGCAAAGTGCTGAGAGTGGAAATATAATAAAAGGAGGCTATGAACCCGAGAGTGAGAGGGTGTGGGAGAGGTTTGAGCGAGCTGGGAGGGACTGGAGGAGACAAAGGGACGGGAAAGAAAGTGTTGTATTTCAATTTCAATTTAACACATAAAAAATTTGAAAGGACTTGAAGTAGAGTGGAAGTAGGCAGACATAGGAGAATTGAGGTGTGAACAAGATCAGTATATTGTATAAAATTTTCTAAGAATTAATGAAATTTTTTTTTAAAAAAAAGAAATACAGTTAAGAAGAAAGGAGGACATGCAAGAAGTCCCTACAAGTATCTTCCTTCCCCTGGAAAGTCAGTCAGCACCTTGGGTGGGGGAGTGGAAGGTCAGAGTTCTGTGGAGCTAGGATGCCTATCAGTATTCATGAATTCTAGAGAGGCTGAATTCAAAAGCATTCCTGCTTTAGTCATATTAGCTATGGCTGTCCTTGCATCCTTCTGTGTGAGAAAAATTACAGTAAAGGCCAGATAGCTGGGTTTTTTTTTTCCATTTTCTTTTGTGAGTGGAGTTATTTAATGGATTGCAATTACACAACCAGAGAACCCCCACAAATGTCGCACTGAAATCACCACTAAAAGGAACATTAAAACACTGCAAGAAGGAAGGCAGGTAATTTTAGCCTTCCACTCAATAAGTCATAGAGTAAGAAAGGAGAATGGATGCCTAAAGATGATGAGAGCTGATTTTTTTCAGACCCTTGGCCACATAGCCCTTTAAACCGGAAAGACTTTTAGATCAGTACTCATTGAATAACAGGTACTGCCTCTTCCAGCTCTTGATGGTCTCAATTTTAATTTATGTCTTCAAATACATCTTTCTAGGCATGCCCTATTCGGGGAAGCATAGACTATCTGTCCTTTTGTATCAGGATTCGTCACTTAGCATTCCCTTAAATACAATCCATGTTGTAAATACAGGTTTTTGAGTCGTGATTTCAAATTCTAGATGAACCATTATTTTTTAAAGAGACATTGTCAGAGTCGTACCAGCCTCTTTCTTTCACACATTTTGTTCCTCTCAGAGATGTTTTATGGTCACTCTGTCCCGACTGACTCTGAGGCATTCTTTAGACTTCAGCTTAGCAGGTATTTCTTCAAAAAGACTTTTCTCAAACCCCCAAATCTGGTCAGGTCACACTGTTACATTTTCCCATTGTATAATTCTCAGCTGAATCTCTTGTTTATATAATTACTTTTGCCTTTTTTTTTCCTGGAGCTGGCTTTTGGAGGCTACAAATTACATTCCCTATTCTGTTTTATGAAATGTCTGGAACTTAAATGTTGCTGAGTGTCACTGACTCTTAAAACATTTCTTACTGTCTGTGGTGTAGAAGAACAGTTATCTAAAGCACTGAGAGTGGTCCAAAAACTTAGGATTTGTAATTCCCAGCATTGGTATCAAGTGACTGCAATCTGAGGACATAATTTAAATGACCTAGCATTCCACTTCTGTAAGCAATGACTAGAATAAAGGCATACCAAGGCTCCTTTAAGATAACAGTTTACTTATGTGCATATCATCATTACAGAAAATCTAATGTATGTGATAATTCTGACATCATACATGTGATAACCTTTAAACATGTTTAAATTAATCATTTCCCTTTAAGTCAAATGAAGGGAGCATTTATATAAGGATAAAAAAAATGCCCAGTGATAAAAGTGTGTATTTCACTAAACTATGCATTAATCCCTTTCTTTTTTTTTCCTTTTTGTCCCAATAGTCTTATTCCACATAAGATGATGCATGACTGGAAAGAACTCTTTTTTAGTGGAAATCCCATTTATGAACAGGATTCTCTTAAACATGGACGTACAGAATCCTCTGCGGAACATCATATAGAGCTGCAAAAAAGGAACTTGCTTGATAAAAATGATTATGAAGACTATAAGGTACATACTAATATGGAATAAACTGGGTGAATTGAACACAATAAATTATTTTCCTTAGTGTTAATTTGTGGTATTTTACTTGATTCCTATTAATGAAAACAGACATGTTATATTTGCATTTTCTCTTATATTAATTCATATATTTACAACTAACTTTTACCTGTTTAAAATATTTATCATTGTTATCCACTGTTCACAGTAGACTGGAGCAGCCTAAAAATAATTAACTATAATACATTGAGCAAACAAATGTCAGAAGGACACCTTACTAAAATTTTTCTTTTATGAGCTTTCTACCTTTGCCTCAAAAGCCATTATTAAAATATCATTTCCAAAGCAATTTATCTCAGTAGTATATTATATTGCAGGCAAAATGGAGAGGAAGGGGGTTATGAATTAGAGTGACAAAAATTCATACAACATTTTATGCAAATAACAAGAATATTGTGTAACATGGGGACCGGCTTGTTGGGGTATCTGTTCTACCTGGTACCCCACATCCGGCAACTCCCAAGGAAAATCACACACAAGACTCCATAAGATTATAAACTGATTGGCCCATTAGGTCAGGCTTCTTATTAGCTCTTATAACTTATGTTACCCCTTTATCCTTATCTACATTAGCCACATGGGCTCAGTACCTTTCTCAGTGTGACAGCTTACATGTTGCCTCTTTAGTGGTCTGTGTAGGAATGGCAGAGGGACCTCTCTGCTTCCCAGAATTCTCCTGTTCTCATTGCATCACCTCTACTTCCTGTCTGGTTTTCCCGCCTATACTGCCTGCCTGGCCAATCAGCATTTTATTAAAATATGATTGACAAAATACAGACAATTCTCCCACATCAATATTGGATACAAATTGTACATTTTATCGATTTTTAGTTCAATTTTATAATAATGTTTAAATTATATGTATTTATGAAGTCCCTGTGATAAATTGATATAGGTAAACATATAATATATGGTTTATAACAATTTATGATATACTTTATATTGAGTTAAGAGAGGAGTTCAGAGAAATTATTTTTATTTCGAGGAAATGGAAATACCACCACTGCCTGTTAGAAAGTTGCCTAGAAACCTTTGGGATAAAACAGTGGCATTGTCCACTGCTGACTATAGATATCAGGTATCTAATCCTTAAGCACTAAAGACATTTGGTACCTCAATTTATGAAATAATAATGTACCTATCTTATTTTGTAAATGTTGGTGGTTTAGTCCAATGCATGGTGTTTTGGATTTAAGTAATACATACTCATTTTTTTTAACCACTCAACTCTCCCCATCCCACTTCATCTCAACCTTATAATGTTATAAAAGTGGTGGCTCTTGAATGCAGTTTCTGGGCACAACCATGGAGTAAAGAATGAGAATATTATTGTTCGAATAGCACTGACTTCTAGAAGGTTAGCAAATACAATATGAAAATGAATGATGGAAGATTAGTCATTTACTAATAATCAGTGAATAGTTATAAACATTTACTGTAGAGATGAATGCAGAAAATGACTTCATGACAATGACCAGGGAAATGAACAAAGTAACACTGATGTGTACATATTAAAGGAAGTTAAGACTCTGGTAAAAAATTAAGGAAGCAATATCAGATTATGGGAAATTAAATGTAAACCTTATTTTAATTGCACGACTATATATATTTATCTCCTTGATAGGATTGTTTATTTTTGGATTGAGTAGAAACTTAAGAACTGCATATAGATTTTATCTAGTTTGGCTGTGGAACCGTATGTATACCTTATATGTCAATCCAAAAGATAAGGTCTCATGGGAAAAGATGTTATTTGATAAATATCAAACTATGTTAAGGTATTGATTCCCATTATAAATTAAGAAGTTATACTGTCCAATTAAGCAGAGTCATTTGACAGCCTTTGGCTGATTCACAATTCAGTATTTTTTGCTCAGTTATTTCTTGGAACAGTTTGGTTGACTCTGTTCTTTTTCTCATAAATCAGGAGACCAGGTAGGCCACAACTGAGAAGGCTCTATGTTTCTAACTATTTTCGTTGTTTGGGAAATGCTTACCACAGGAACATGCTTGTCTTACCCACATCCTGAGGCCCCTGGCATGTTTGTTTGGCAGGAAATTGTCGAGTTTGTTAGGACTTTGTGAACATCTATAAGTCAGTGCAATTCTTTTTGTGTAGCGCCTTTGCTGTTTTTCTTTTAATGAAAATTCCCTTGCAATTTCCTACTTTATGCGTTTTGTTCTGCAGAGTCAAATTAGATCCTATGCAGATTGTCCAATAAATTGATTTTTTTAGTTATTGTTTACCATTATGAGTATTTTGTTCTCTTGAAGAACTTCATCTAAATATTCTTACATACAGGAAAAATAAATATTTCAGATGATAAAATGTGTTATCAGTCTTGCTAGTCTATAACAAATTCAGAAGGGTAGTTTATCCTGGTTTAGATCATAGACTAGTTGCTTACCTATATTTGCTATTGCAAAATTTGTTCAAGATTTCTAATGTTAGAAGTTAAGGCAGATCTTCAGAAGTATTTGCATTCTTGGCATACTTTATTGATATCCATACTTTCTTTCCCCAAAAAACTGACATCATCCATGTTTGAGCTCAGGGCCCTAAGAATTCATATCCTCCTCAGTAACCTGCCATCATGCTCTATTTCTAGAATTGCTACTGGTAAAGAAGTGCTAGCCAATGACTAATGTTTCTAGAAATCTTCCTATCTGCTGAGAAGAAAGAGCATCATGAAAAAGCCATCCCTGGGCAGGGGTTGTCCTACGCCATTGCAGTAGGCTGAAGAGACTGAGTTATTTAACAAAAAGGATGGAGGAGCTCTTAAGACCCAATAGACATAGGGAGTGGCTCAATCAGGTACCAGGTATTCACCCAACCTTTCCAGAATAATCACTAGCACAGTCACAGATAGCAGACAGACCCATGATTCATCCTGCCAAATTTGTGACCCTCACCAATCCCAAATGATGTCCTCTCTGTGGTTCTGACTGGGAAAAGTCTTCTTCCACAGCATTCTATTTCTACATAAGCATCTTACTTACAGTTGCTTATTGACTGCGTTTAGGAGTTATAGCTGTCAGTTTCAACATCTGTGGAGTTTGTGTCTACAGAGTCAACTAATCACTGCATCACAAGTAATTTTTCATATTTTGCCCTGTGATTATTCCCTTAACAATATAATTGAATGACCTACTTCCATAAAACCTACATGACATAGGGTATTCTGTATAATCTAGAGCGGATTTCAAGAACACAGGGTGATTTGATGTTCATGAGTGAAATTCAAGGCTTATGCTATTTTCTGTAAGGGATTCCAGCTTCTTACTATAATGTGAGAGAAAGCCATTTTCCTTTTCATACATCATCTATCTTACTTAACTTCTTGGTGACAATTTTTCTATTATGGCTATTTTTTCTTTTCATGACAAAATGTTGTTTTGGTTTATGATTGTTTGAGTGAGTGATGGTTAGTTGCTTATGACTTTCCCCAGACTAGACTTTGTCCTGTGTTTAATGTTTAACACAGTGGTCCAGTCTCTAAAGCCCTGTCCCCTCAAGAACTCTCCCACCTTCAAATATGTGCATATAATGAGATTTCTTTTCACTGGGAGTTTATCACCAAGTAATAAGAATGAGGAACTAAGTGGGAGATGAAATTTCTGTTCTATGAAGAAGTCTGTTTTTACTTGGAGATTTCAGGCATCGGTTTGATTCTATTTCATATTCCACACCTGATAAGTGACAGGGTCAGTCTTCTGTAGGCCAAGTGGACATAGTGTCCGCTGCTGTGAGATCATAACTGCAGTGGCTCGTGGCTTTAAGTTTTATCTCTATTCCTGGTGTATAGATTCAGGAGACGAGGGTAATGTTTTAGTGTCTACAAATTTGACCACAGCAGAGAAATCCTCAGCATACCTCTCTGAGTGTCTCTATGCAATAGCAGAGGATGATTTAAGTCAGAGGTCAAAGATTCTTCAAAAGTCTTTTTAGAAACCAGACTCTTGAGTTAGTACAGAAGTGATCTGAGGTGGACTGCTTGTCTTTGCAATGAATATTGCAGTTTAAACAGTTGTTTCTTGGAGTTTTGTTGTTGTTGTAGATCAAGGTGATCATAAGCATCAGAATTATTTTGTGACCTTAGCACAGGGAGAGATGACAGTACCAAGTCCAACATGGTACTGTTCCAAGGACATACGGGTATCAGAAGAAAGTCTTCAATATTAAAGTCTTGGATTTTGATTTTCTCTAACCCAGGACATTGTGATTCAGAAAGCACTGGTCTGGGATAATTCTCTGTGTTCCAAATTAAGGTCTTGAAGGGACTATGTAGCTTGCAGAACAGATGAAGAACTGCATAGGAACCCTTCGTTTTGTGATGGCTAAGCTACTCCTTCACTGTGCTCCCAAGTGAGTCGCTCTGAACCTATATGGAATCTGAGAGTAGGCCAAGCCCTTACCGTGGTCTGCACCATGTCTTCACTGAATTTGAGCAGTGCTGAGTTCTCAAGAGAAAGTAGTTCTTACAGTTTTTAGCTACCCCTTGTAGCTAAAATCAGACCTGTAGTCCATTGACTGTGGCTGCTGAATATATACCTTTTTCTCAGAAGAGGAAATCTGATACTGATGAACTTTTTGAGATTCTGGCAATGTAAGATAAAGAGATTGGGTTGTATAGTAGGACAGTTGCTAGGCTCCCTAAAATTTGGGCCTATAATCGTCTCAATGATGTGTTCAATATTGGATACCTGACCATGTTAAACTCAGATTTCCTTGGAGAAATAAGTTCAATATTGACAGAATTGTTCTGGTTCTTTTCTGTGGGCTAGTATCAGATGTGTCTGTTTCAGTGATATTAAGCCATGGAAGATTGAAGAAAGCTGTTTGGGCAAAAATCATCGGATAACTGAGAAATAGCACTCTTCAATCAGAACCTCTTTACATTTCCAGATCATTAAGAATAAAAAATGATGGAATTAGTTAGAGACCAAAGTGTTGCGTACCTATAATCTTGGAATCTAGCAAAAATACTGTTCAGTTCACTATGGAGTTCCAGGTAGCAAGTGAAACAGTTGCTACTTCAATTTTTCCTTTGTGACTGACTATGGGGCCAAGTTTGTGTTTCCTGCCAGTAGATTCCAGCTTCACCCTGGAGGTACATCCCTTCTGCCAACCTCAGACTCCTCTGGAATTTAAAGGCCAGACTGGCCAGGAAATACCCAACCACACCCATCCCTGATTAGAAATCAAGCGACACATCAAAGCTGCCAGGCTCCCTTCCCTGAGTAAATGCAGATTTAAACTGTTCTGAAACCTTCAATACAGAGCCCATCCCATAAGAGTTCTTTCGTGAAATTGCTGGCATGTTAATCACTTTCTTCTTTCTGCCACCTTCTCAAATGCACTTAGCCCATTGATACCTGGTGATTACACCATTCCCATACAGTGTTCCAGAAGTCTCGTGTGGCTGTCAGATCCCGTGAGCTGAATAAGCAGTTAGAGAAGATAAATAAACACCCTTTCTGCTTTTCCTGACAGTCCTGTGTCATTAGCATGAACTTGAGTTATGAAACACCTATAAAGCCTCAGGATTTTGGAGTAGTTGGAAGAAAGGAAGCATGGCGAGAGGTGACAATGGCAGCAAAAGAGGGACTAAAAGCTTCATTCTTGCCCCACGTCTCTGTGAAACATGGCTTTCCCTCTGAAAAGCCCAAGTTCCCGAATGGAATGATTAGAATATTAGATCTAGAACTTGTAGTTTAGAGCAGCAGGAGGTGTGTTTCATCACATTTAATGCCCTCTGTACACCAAGTCCGACTGCGAGAAGGTCAGCCAAGAGATCTGGGGCAAGGATTTGTTGAGTTTTCAGATCAAGAGCCAAGATGGCTGAGACTTGCTCAAGAGACCAGAAACGTGAAGGAGCAGAGGTGGGATGGAGCCAAGGCCTTTGCAGTTAGCTGGTGGTCAAAACAAGCTGGGTCAAAACGAGGTTAGAAAATGAAAATGAAGCTGGCATGGAAGAGGACTTAAAGGCTTGGGAGCACAGTAGCTGATTGCTCTAAATATCTGGAGTGTCTACAGCTGATATGCATGTGCATCGGTCATCTGATACATTCTTTAAACTAGTTTAGGAGGCCTGAGGGAAATTCCCTTATTAGGAGCATGACATGAACAGGTCACAGACAACTTCTTCCACAGTCAACACACCCTCTCCTGGACCCTTGGCTCAGCCCTGGTGCTTAGACTTTCCCAGCTCTTCAGCTTGCGATTACCTCAGTCCTGACACCTCTTATGTCTTCTCTGGCGTCTTCTGTGTACTCACTTTAGTTTCTGATGGATGATGTTTGGTTGATTCTGCTGTATAAGTGTAGCAGGGCAGTTTCTGCGTATGGACTCCCTCGGGGGAAAAATGTTTTACAGCCCTAGGTTCAGGCTAATGCTAACACAGGTGACACGGGATTTCCTTTGCCTTAAGTGATGGTCCCTATTGTCTGTTTTATCTGAGGATCCTCCATTGTTAAAAATTAAAACCTTCTAGCCATCATCTTTTTGAGGAAAATAAAATTAAAAACTGAATTTTTCTTATTCACTTTCACACTTAAAAGTGGCTTTATCTTTTTCTCCTTGTTGTATCTGTGGTGGTTTAAGACGTCACACATTAATAAGTTATTTACATTTATTTCATTTTAAAAGAAATGCTTTATGCTGCCATTCAAAAGCATTTCTTTAGCTTGATGGAGATGATTTCCTAAAGAAATGGTCTATTTCTTTATTATCTATTTGCAAAAAACAAAACCTTATTGATATAGTTGAGGAAATGGGAAATTCTAAGATCACGCTGCAAGTAGATTTGGTGTCTGGTGAGTGTCCAGTATCCACTTCCAACATACCATTGAGAATTCTGCACTCACCCTGACCTCAGGGCTCAGCTCCTTATGCACTTTAATGAAGCTCTAGTCCTGTACCTCCTGAGTGTGAATACCCCGGAGCCTGTTTACCTCCTAATACACTCCACCTTCTTAATACTGTTGTGTTCCTTATGAAATTCTAACATGGACTTCAGAGGAGATACAAATTTCAAATCCATCATGATGCATAATTGGTATTGCAGTTTCGCTACATTCATTACAATTAATTAGTGCTACTAACTAACCAACAATACTAATAATGCCCATACTTCCTTGGGATTCCTTTTCTCTCTCTCTGGAGTCAATCACTAGCATTCTGTGGTAACAGCTTTGAGCAGTTTTTAACCCATTTAATAGATCCTTTTGTTTGGCTCCTTTTTTAGTTAATTAATTAATTTATTAAAAATGTCCACCTCCCCGCCTCCCTTTCCCCTCCCCCTCCCCACCTCCCCCTTCCTCTCTAGTCCTCAGAGCAGTCAGGGTTCCCTGCCCCGTGGGAAGTCCAAGGTCCTCCCCCCTCCATCCAGGTCTATAAAGGTGAGCATCCAAACAAACCAAGCTCCCACAAAGTCAGTTCATGCAGTAGAATCAAAACCCGGTGCCATTGTCCTTGGCCTCTCAGTCATGTTTGGCTCCTTTTGTAACATGCTAACATGTCCTTCTTTAGGGAGCATCTGTGCACTTAAAGTGCAAACATTTTTCTTTAAAAATTTTTGATTATTATTAAATTATTTTTGATTATAATTTAATCTCCCTAGATTATTTTCCCTCAAAGCCTTTTTGTATACCTCTCCCCACTTTTTCAAATTCATGGTCTCTATCCTCTCTCTCTCCCCCCCCACCTCTCTTCTCACCATAATAGCATGCATAAATGTGTAGGTATACATATACATGTTCCAAATATAATTTTACAGTCCATACAATGCTGTATGTAATTTTGTCAAGCTGACCATTTAGTACTGAACAACCAATTGGCGTGCTCTTCCCTGGGAAAGGCCCCTTGTCCCATTCCCAGACTTCTTCAGTTCTTTGTGTAGCGTTGAAGCCTCATGGATTTTCTCCATCCAATTTGCTGTGTTCACTGGTGTTATCCTTGTTCAGTTCATAATTGGGAAACCATGTTGGTGAGACTCTCTAGGTTTGGCTTCTGACATTACTAGAAGACACAATTTCAGTGCAAACACCCTGATCCTCTGGCTCTTAAAATCTTTCAGCCCCATCTTCTGCAATGTTCAGTGAGCCTTAAGTGCGGGAGTGTTATGTGGATGTACTCATTGGAAGTGGACTCCGCAACTCCGTGTTGTGATTGGTTATAGTTTCCTGGAATGGTCTCCATCTGTTAGAAAGAGAAGTTTCCTTGATGAGAGATAAAGAGTACATTTAACTGTGGTCATAAGGGCGAATGTTTATTGGCTGCTGTCAGGGATTATACTGGTTCAGTAAATTAGTGGTTGTAGGTTCTCCTTCAATAACCACGACTTTACTAACAATGAGCAGTTAGCTAGGCTTTCAGAACCAAGCATGGCGTCCCTCTTGTTAAGTGGGTCTTAAGTTAAGTTATAGAGCTGTTGGTTATCACCAAGGTATGTATGTCACTGCTATATCCATAGGGTTATTGTGGCCTGCTAGTTATTTGATGAGGCTCATAGGCACAAGCGTAAAACGTTTGGCTGCTTTTACTTTGGGCACTTACTTGCACGACACATTCTGTTACCATGGAAGGTATTCCTCGGGGAGGAGGATTTCTGATCAAATCCAGCTTAGGGTCTCTGGGCCCTGTTTCTGAAGTGCATGGTGTCTTCAGTAGTAGGGACTTACCTTCCACTAAAGTGGGTAACCAAGGGCAATAGTTAAAGACTGGATGTTTTGGGGGTCTATTGGCTAGTCCTGGTCAATAGCTCAAAAGAAGGCTTCTCGTGTATGCTGTTGTGGTTTTTGTTAGATGGTCTTTGGCTCTCGGAGGGAGAACTGTCAGCCCAGATGAGAAAAGTTCATTAAAACGTTTATAATTATATACGGAGGTATGTATGTCATCCAGTGTTTTGTTTTGTTTTGTTAAATACTTATGATTCCTTATGACTTTTTCAGATGTCCTTGATATTATTTTATGCACATCCTTCTTCCTCCTGTATTTACCATCCCTAAGAGCCCCTCTCCCATTTGCCCTGTTACATCTCTTGTATTCTGCTTTACTCTCCTCTCACCGTTTTTTTGTATTTACCTTCCTTCCCCTCCGTAAGGAGCCCCTTTTTTTCCTATTTCCATGATCAGATCACTTGTATCCTGCTAATCCCCTCTCTCTTTTGCTCACTAACCCCCATCCTGGCAATGGTCCTGCTTTGTTTTCCTGTTTCTGAGGTCCCTGCAGGCTCTGCACTCACATCTGAAGGTTGGGAGCTAGGTGCCCGCAGTAAGAGAGAGCATGCGATGCTTGTTTTTCTGGGTCTGAGTTACCTCACTAAATCATTTAACCCGATCTTTTCTAGTTAAGCCCATTTGCCTGCAGTGGAACTCCCTAGTGTATATACCACGTTTTTATTATCTATTTGTCAGTTGTATGACTCTTAGGTTATTTCCATTTCCTAGCTACTGTGAATAGCTAGGAAATGGAAATTCAATCTTCATGGCTGAACAAATATCTGCAGAGTAGAAGCCTGAGTCTTTCGGGCATATACCAAGGAGAAGTAGAGGTGGGTCATATACTGGATTTAATTTTAGCTCTTTGAGAATTATCTACACCAGCTTCCATAGTGACTACATCACACTACAACCCCACCAATAGTAAATTAACCCTACTTCGTCATCATTCCCCTTTCCCCCTGCAGCATTTATTGTTGGTTGTTACCTTGATTTTTGCCATTCTTCTGGGGTAAAAGGAAATCTCCAATTTGTTTTGGTTTGCATTTCCCTAATCCCTATGTATGATAAACACTTTTGAAGAAATTTCTTAGCCTTCCTCTTTTTTTCCTCTTTCTTTCTTTTTCTTTTCCTTTTTTGTTTTGTTTTGTTTTTTTGAGAAAGGGTTTTGCTGTTTTTTCCTCTTTCAAGCATTCTATGGTCACATTCCAGGCCCATTTTAGAAAGGGTCATTTTTTATTATTGGGTATTTTTTTTAGTTCTTTATATATTCTGGATAATAATTCTCTATGTGATATATAGCTGGGAAACATTTTCTCCCTTTTTCTGGACCATCTTTTCCCAGCTGATTTTTTGTTTTTAATTTTCTTTATCCATGGAGAAACTTTTAAGTTTCATGTAGTCCCTCTTGGCCTTACCTCTTGAGCAATGGAATCCTATTCAGGAAGTCCTTTCCTACACCTGCATCATGTTTTCTTCCAGTAGTTTTAGTGTTTCATGTTTCAGGGTTCAGATCTTTGATCCATTTGGAGTTTGTTTTGTGTATGTGGTAGAGATGAGTCAAATTTTGTTCATCTGCATGTGAACATCTAGTTTTACCAAAGCATTTGTTGAAGATACTTTATTTTCCAGCATATGTTTTTGTTATCTTCATCAAATATTAAATGAGTTAAGTCACATGTGTTTGTGTGTGAGTTTTTGATTTAATTCCATTAGTCTAAGTGACTCATGTTGTATCCATACCATATTGTTTTGATTGCTATGACTATGTAATATAATTTAAAATCTATAGTTGCAATCCTTCCAGTTTTGTTCTTTTTGCCCAAGATTGTTTTCACTATCCAGGGTCTTTTTGGTTGTATATGAATTTTAGAATAGATTTTGCATTTCTATGAGTAATAACATGGGGTTGGTTGAATGATTATTTTCACGATGTTAATTCTCCTGACCCATGAGTATATCTTTCTATTTTTGTATTTTTAAAACTCTTCAGAGTTTTAAAGTTTTCTTTGTAAAGATCCTTCACTTGCTGATCTAGGTTTCTTCCTAGTTAATTTTTTTTCTTTTAGGCTATTGTGAATGGGAGTGTACGCATGATCTCTCTCTCTCTACACCTGTTGTTGTACAGAAAGGTTTTTGATTTTTTTCAAGTTGATTTTGTAATCTGCAACATTGCTGAGTTTGTTTATCTTTTCTAGAAGTTTTATGTTAGTCTGTCTCTTTTAGAGGTTCTACTTACATCAACTAATTCCATGCATATTGTAGAGATACTTGCTATCTTCTGTTTATAGAAATGATGTTTTCTGAGCTTGCTCAAAGTTTGGGTGTTCTATTTCATCTGTCTGTCTTATTTGAAGATTTGAACTGTCTTTGTACAAAATCAAATTACTAGAATTAAATGTCTATGCAGTGTCTTGTTTGTTTTAGTTCACATATAAACTATATTACTAATTGACTGACTCTCAGTCAGTCAGTATTCAGAAGTTATCTATATTTTGTTGGTCTATTTTCCAACATATTTGAATTTTCATTGCATTGGGTATTATTTGAATAATTTTAATTTTTGAATAAAAATTGTTAAATCAATATGTGGGCCACAGCCATTATTTGTTGTCCAAATATGTAGAAACAGAACAAAAACATAATAAAGTGGAATACAGTACAATAGAAAATAATATACATCACATGTAGTAAACATTTTGTCCACTAGAGTTTTGTTTCTCTTCCTTATATACACCAGTATATAATGTCATTTTAAGAAGGGTTCTGTCAAAATATTTTGAAAGTCATTGTCTTGAAAGATGTGTAACAATTCCAAAAGTAGCTGGGCAATCCAGGAATTCTTGGAGGGGTTCAAACAAGGACCCCTTAGCAAGATGTGAGGGCCAAAGCTCAAAATCCAACACTGACTTAGAAATAAAGCTTTTTGTGTTTTTCCTCTCTCTTTTTGTTTGTGTTTTTGTCTGTTTGGTTGGTTTTTAAGGAATTATATATCCCATGTTGGACACAAACTAGAAGTAATTTCTTGTCTCAGCCTCCCAATTGCCGGAATTACAGCTGCGCCATTGTCGCCAGATCCCTCTGCGTACACACAGGGAGCATAAAGATACAGCACAGTAAATATGCACTGCTCTTGTCCAAGTCACATTTTTCAGTATAAATATTTTAATTATTTGCCCTGCACCGGCCCTTCTAGAGCATGAATTTGAACTCATGGGTAAATGGTTTCTACCATTCTTCCCATCTTCATTCCTGCCTTGGACTTACTACTCTGCTGCCCATCATGGAACATGAAAGATCTAACCTGAAAGAGTCATCATGATCAACATAAAAACAAGGTCACCTGAAATTTGCTATATATCCAGTCACCCCTTAGACTACTAGTTCAAGAATTAGCTGCATTTCAGGAATCACACACTTAGCTATTCTCCATTTCCTTCAAATTGGTTTGCCAAGAGAAAGTCTTCCAAAGTAACTGCAAAATGAAGACAGCTTAACTGTTTTCTTATGGTGGAATTGCCATGAATTAGCTATGCTCTGAATGGAGAATATACTGATTTTATGACATTAACATATATATGGTTTCTTGAATTAAGTCTATTGGGATATTTTGTCCTGTACCTTTGGCTACTCTAGCAAGATAATGTCTATTTACATAACAGAATTATAGAATGTTGTTAAATAGTTTAACATATTACATCTCAAGAATACTTAAGGAAATCAGAATATATAGAAAACAGGGCACATGTTGTATTCACTGGGAAACAAGCTTTTTCTCTCTTAGAGGGGAGGGATTTTTGCATATCTTTTATCTTTTCATTTTTAATCGAATTGTAATTGACAAGAACATTCCTGACTAGGTCTACCTGGGTTACCCCAGGTCAAGCAAACAAATGCTGGTAAGTCTTAGTCATCTGAGCAAACAGAAACCAGATTCTCTGGACCATTAGACTATGACTATTATTCCAGAAGCCACATTGTTATGCCACTAATAAGTATATTGATATAACTCGAAAATGTGGGTTGATGGAATGTTGCACAACTGTCAAACCAAGATTTTAGGGACTCATAATGAACATCTCCCAAGGACTAAATTCTGTTTATCCCACTTTCTAATTTTAAAAGTGTTTTAAGAAATAAAAATGACACACACATCTATATTCATAACTTCATTTTATCAGTGACTATTATATTATAAAAGAAGGTAACTAATCTATTGAGAAAGCGTGCAACCTCACCAGAAACAACAGTCAGTAACTGGGGCCACGTGATAGCCAAGGACAGAATCTACAGGAAGTAGATCTATATCTTGCTCTTGAAGTATAAACCTCAGCCCATAAAGTAGATGCTATTTGTAAATATTCACAATGATCCTTAAAAGTCCAAGGATTCAAAACCATCAGCCCACAGGAATTTTAAAAGATAAGACTGATGGGAAATGATTAGAAAGAGATGTCTCAGTAATCCATTTAAGTCTCTACAACCAAATACAAAGAGGCACATGGGCACTTTGAATCTGGGATGCACAGTTGAATGTTAGCTCCACATATTATATGATGATAAGAACAGTATGTGCATACCATGAGCCTAGACGTTCACAATCAGGTTCTGGAAAGCTCATTGTAGGTCAATTAATAAAACCTGTACTGGTGAACTAATTACACCTTTTCACCAAGAGAAGCGAGTATTTACTGTTATATTTTTATGATCTATTTTTGGATATGAATTGACAAGGAGAGATGGTTCTTGGATCTTGCACACACATCTCAAACTACATACTTGTTGCATTTATTCAGGCACTACAAAAATTATAAAGATATTTTAAGCAATTTCTATATGCATTTGATAGCTTACCTAATTCAAAGTAATAATGTAGAGTACATCCCACCCTGTTAAAGCAACGGTTTGTATCAAGTGATACTTACCTAGTTTGCCCACTACAGGCATTAGTATCTTGAAATTAACAGGCCAATGTGTATGTTTGTAACAATATCTGAAGGTGTGAATTATATCTTATGACATTGCTTTAATCACATCTACATAAGTAGTAAATGTTAAAATCTGCTAGAATACTCTGGTTCTTCTGTAACTCTTTAGGTCATTTGAAGTCAAAGTTTTCAACTTTAGTTTCAGTTTCTCCTTTTTTCCAATTTTTCTGGTCTCCTTCTTACTCAATATGTCCTTGTTCCACACTGGTCTTTGTGTGGAAGCTGTCCTTCATGTGGTCCGGCTCAATGTGCTCTTCCAATCTCTCTCTGCTTATCTCCATAGGTCAGACCAGTTCTTTTCTGAGCCAGAACATTCTGTTCTCTTCACAGTCAATGTTCTATTCCATTGTGTTTGGCCATAATCTGTAACTAACCCCGTGATGTAGAGGGCTTTATTTGACCCTTTTATGAGGAGGCATGCCTTCTAACTATGGCAAAGCTTACTGGTATTCGTCTTTGGAGATGTGTTACTGGTAAATGCCTCCAGCAGTGCCTGGCAACTCCTCTGGTGTTTGTCGTCAGTGGTTTTACTGGCTTGTATACAGTATTATTTCATTTGATCTTTACAACAATTAAATTGTGCCTCAAGGTGAAGAGTCAACAAAAATATGGAACATGCAAGTAACAGAATCTTTATGGGAGTCAGAGATATTAAATTTACATGTGAGTCTGTTTCCTTTAGAAAGACCTTAAGTCTGCACAGCTAAAAAATTATCAGAACTTTGGCATCTAGCACTTCAACTTTTAATAAGAGGATTCGTTCTTGTTTTCTTATTTGGCTTCCTCCTTGCTGGCAACTTTACATATAGTCATTATCATTTCTCTACTTAAAAGTATAACCAGCTCCAGTGAATGAAAACAGAAGCACATAATCATTTATTATGAAAAATATGCACAATCGTGCATCCTTTAAACCTGGATGGTGCAGAGAGTTATGCACTGGACTAGCAAAACCAAAGTTATTAAATTAAAACAAGTTTCCTTTTTCTTTGTGTGTGTTGCTTGGAATTGAACTTAGGATCTCACACATGCTAGGCAAATGCTCTGCCTTAGAGCTATATCCCCAGCCCTAGAAGAACATAATTCATAAGAGTAAAATGTTATTTATATAGAAGTGAGAAGACATTTTTAATTATAATTATACATTTATTTTTTTGGATTTTAAAACAATCCTTAGAAATACTTTGCTTCAAGGATAAGTTTTGTTTGTTTCAAGGATTTCTTCAGCTCCAGGACTGTCATCTGAGGAATTCTGGCACCAGACTAAGAACATGACCCACAGCACTTATCAAACTTGACAATGTGTTTTCTGGAAAGTATTTTCTTGTCAGATACAGTATATTAAAAATACTGATAAAAGAAAAATCAAGAACATAGAAAAAATGTTTGTTTACTCATGACTAGAGTTTTAGAAACACTGCCAAAATGCCCCACAAAAATGGCCTAAAAAGCAACAAATAATCAATACATTTTTTTCTTACTTAAAAGCATTTAGAAAAGGATTAGAGAGGTGGTAAGAGGAGTCTGTTTCCAGTACCCATGCTGGGTTGCTCCCAGCCACCTGTAAATGGAGCTCTATGAGTTCCAGTACCCTCTTCTGTCCTCCATTGGCACCACGCTTGTATATAGACAAGCACAATGCACACATGAATGAAAATGAAAAATAAATATAAAATTGTATACTTATGATAACATCTCCAAGTATAGGCAGAATCTGTCATTTTGAACGATTGTGCATTATTGGTGAAATATTAAGAATGAAAAAGAAAGAATTGTTTTTAATACCCAAATATGACTTGTCAATTACTTTGTGGAGTAAGTACTATTGAATAATTTATCAGTCATGAGGCTAAGATAAAAAATAATACTCAAATTTGGGATTCAATCTAGCCAATGATTTTTCAAAATGCATAGTTCCTGAGCATATGCAGAAAATAGGAAACTTTAATTAAATCATACACTTACGGTCAAGATAAAGATACTTACTCTTCTATTGGAAAAGCGAACTGTCCTATTAGGACAAGATAGACAATTCAGACTCGTACAAATTGGTTTGTATTTTCTAAAGAAATGTCATCTTTGCTTGCTCTTTGGTTTTATGGGAACAGGATGTTTCATGTTTTTCCCCGGTGGCTTCCTTGTGTTCTTCTTAGTAGCATGATTTAGACTGCAACAGCTAAGTTAAAATTGTTGGGGCAAGTGAAATAACCGAAGTGCTTATCAAAATACTGTCATTAAAAAGCAGTGCATTTTGAAATTTAGACTTTTAACATTTAGGAATACTGACAAGCTTGACAGATCTGCACCACTGTACTAACGCAATTAGCTTTAAAAACCGGGAGAGTTTGAGATACAGGCTATATATACTAATTCCAAATAATAATAAGGTACGTCACACACAGCTTGTATGTATTGTGATGTATCTTATTATTATTGGAAACATTTTAATATTGAATGTGTGGTTTTTACACAACATTTTCCAGTGTAATTGGCTGTAATTTTCTTTTAAAATGAAGTTCTCATCAGTTATATTTGATATAGTGTGTGTACATGAGTGTGCATGTCTATGTGAGTGTGCATATCTGAGTGTATGTGTGTATGGGTGTGTAAGGATAGGAATAGCATTAACAAATATATTGGAGAAAATTTTATTCTAGATTTTTAACAATAAATTTCTGTTCTATTAAGAAAATATATCAACTAAGCTATTACTGTGTTACTAGACAGAGTTTTCTAATAACTCCAGTTTCAGGGTTTATTTACATAGTAGTTAATAATTTTCAAGTCTCCTTCATGCCTGATGCTACTGTCCTTCAATTGCATTGTGACATAGATACATGTTGTTCTTCACCTTTGTGCCAAGCCATTAGCAAGATGAGTTTCATAAATCAAGTTCTGGGAATTTTTTGATAAATACTACCTCATGGATTTACTTTCTAATTGTATTTCCCTTTTATGTCTATAATTACTCCCTTTTAGGCTCTTATAGTGAAAAATTACTTTTATTTTAGCTTCTGTTTTAGTTTCAATAAAGATGATCTAAACTAATTTAAATGCCATAATATAAAACAGATTAATTGTTTTCAGTCAACTCAAAATACATACTTCTAAAACTAATATTTTAAAAGTTTTGTAATATTTTCTGTGGACGTTTTCTTTAATATTTTATAATGTGAAAGTAGTATTGTTATTGTTTTTATGATATAATTAATTACAATATAGGTTAGGTTCTATTAGTTACAACTTGGATTCACTTTTTAAAAGTTTTATTGAAAATAGTGTCTTCTCTCATACAATACATCCCAAAATCAGTTTCCCCTATCTCTATGCTTCCTGACCCCACCTTCATTTTAATCTTCCAATGCCATCGATACTTCCATTCTGCTCTTTGAGAACAATTTTATTTTGTTTGACCGTTATATTTGCAGAACATGGTTGGAGAGTGGGCCTTGCCAGAAGACATGGCTAACAGCTCTCCACCCTCCAACAATTACATACTGGGACATGTGCTTCAAAGATTAATTGAAAAGTCAATCCCTTCTCAAGATGATGCCGCAGAAGCTGAAGTGCCGTCCTATGCTTTGAAGGGATGCTTTCTAGGGAAGACACTCAGTGGCAAAACTACTGTTCTAAAGTGTCTACAAAAAGGTGTTTCCTTTTCTTCTTTTTTCCTTAGTAGATTCTGTTTGTACTGACTATAATAGCTACAACTGCCTACGTCCTTAAGACCCATACCAGAGACTCCATTTAGACAATATCTCTCATCAAAATTTTATAGTAGTAAAATCATGTGACTGATTTTTCATATACAAGAATGAGGTACTGGTACATGCTTCAAAATGTTTGGTCTTGGCAACATTATGCTAAGTAATAGAAACAAGACACAGAAGGTGGCTTATGTTTAACTTATGTGAAGTATCTCAAAATAGACAAATCCATGCAGATAGAAAATGATTCATGTTTTATGGTACCATGGTTTGGGGAATAAATGTGCCAGCATAATAGGTGGGGATTTACTTTTGAAGTGATAAAAAAAAATTCCTGGAACAAAATAATCATGATGGTCAACCAGCTTAGTGTATTTCTCAGTGCCCCTGAGTTGTACCCTTTTAACTAGTTAAAGTGATTTATTTCATGTAATGTGAATTTTATTACAGGGGGAAAGTATCTTAATCCAAGGGACAGATGTAGGGAGAGCAGGGTTAGGGTGTGAAAAAAAATAAAATTCAATAATGCCAATTCTCAGAAGGCAAAGATATTTATAAAATTGTTTTTTCTTTAGAGTTTCCAATTCAAGTACTTTCTATTGATAGTCTTGTCAGTGAAGCTATCCGGGCATTTAATGACAATGAACAAGCCAGTGGGCTAAGACCAGTTCGGAGAGAAAACAAGGGAGAACCTCTGTTGGACCCAAAAGAAATTAGTAAAATACAGGCAAGTAAGCTTCTAGTTTTCTTCTTCTGGTATACTACAGATATGGATCAGGATATAATCTAATGATCACCCAGTAAAGGTTTAAAAGGTAAAGATTTTAGGTTCTACAGACCAAGAAGCAAAAGAGAAGACATTCATTCTCCTCCTAACGCTTCCCATTAAATTGATTTTTTTTTGGGTGGGCCATAAAGATTGGTGAGCTCATTTAAATTCTGTGGCCAAAAGATAAAATTATTCAGAGGCAGGAGCTTCCAGGCGATTATGTGTATATATATATATATATAAACACATACACACACACACCCCCCCCACACACACACACACACACACATATGTGTGTGTATGTATGTATGTATGTATACACACATATATAATGGCAGTTGTTAGGAGGGTGACCTACATTTGCCACTAAGATCACTAACTCCTAGACTGGTATTTCACCACTCAATTTCAGGAAGTTGAGACACTGAGTTTCCCAATATGTGGTTGGAGACTATACAGCTGGCCCTTGGCAATGGATCAGACAGGTGCTGAACCCCCCACAGGGTTAAGGGGAGAACAGGATACACGGCTTGGTCTTTAGATTCACAATATGAGGCTGCTTGAATGATATGAAGCCAAATGGAAACAGCTGGTGAGATCAACTTCTTCCACAGCCAGAATATACCCACCCAAGACACATTTCGTTCGACTGGGGGTAGGAGCAGAACTCCAAGTAGCTTAAATGGATCACATTTTCATAATTTTATATCAACATTAAAATTTATTACATTATTTTGTAAAAATATAATCCTACATGCTGGGGGTTAGAAGAGTATTGTGTGACTTTAAGCATCAAAGATGTGGTTCAGCTCTTGTTTTTTCTAAAGACAGTAGGAGAGACCCTACATACGGATTAGTTTTCTCAATGTCAGAGGCTTGTGGAAAGCTAAGTTACTGAATCTTAGATTTAAAGTTCACTGCCCTTTCTTTTACCTCATATTGTCTCTGCTATTGAATCAATTAACTAAGAATCTACTCTAAATGATTTTTATTTACAGGACAAATACTAGTAAATCACGAATTATGAAAATTGTTTCATTGCCTGGCTCTTTCTTTTTTGACATCATAGCAAACTTTCATTTCACTTAACGGAGTAATGGACTGTAACATGAGGGCCGGCTTGTTGGGGTTTCTGTCCCTCCCAGTACCCCAACAGCCGGCAAGCAACAAAGAAAATCACTCACAAGATTCCATAAGGTTATAAACTGATTGGGCCATTTGGTCAGGCTACTTATTAGTTCTTATGACTTATCTTAACCCATTATTCTGATCTATGTTAGCCACATGGGCTCAGTACCTTTCTCGGTGTGACAGCTTACATGTTGCCTCTTCGGTGGTCTGTACAGGAATGCTGAGGGAGCTCTGCTTCCAGAATACTCCCACTCTCTTTGCTCCACCCCTACTTCCTGTCTGGCTTTCCCGCCTATACTGCCTGCCTGGCCAATCAGCGTTTTATTAAAATACATGATTGACAGAATACAGATAATTCTCCCGCACCAATGGACAACACACATTTTCTCTCCTATTTATCTATGGCTATGACTGACAGCTTTAGGATTACTCTTTAATATTTTTTTTATAAACCACACATTTCCCCTGTTCCTTTTTAATTCTCAAAACAGTAGTTGCTTTATTTTACATAGAAATTGGGAGCCATTGGAAGATTATATACCACAGGTAATTCTGTGTATCTATAAATTCAATACTCACCAAATTTGGTTTGCTTCTGGAAGTCATCATTTCGACCCAGTTTAATATCGTTAATGCATGTGAAATAGTTGGTTCTCAAACACTAACTGAAATCCATGAAATGGAAACGGCATGGAAACATGGCCATATTGAAACTAGATGTTTGCTTTCTTGCCGTAGGATCAGAATGCATCGTCAGTTCCTCCAGTTTCAGGGAAAGAGACACCCAGAAAAGAAGGTAAACCTACATAACTAGTAAGTAATGTGTCAAACACATCGTCCATCATCTGTGCTCAGCACACCAAAAACAGATACAGAAACAGCGAGAGTGATCTATGGGACCACAGCGCGGGTTCAGGGGAGGGAATGGTGAACATCGGGGACCTGAATCCTTCTCTGTGCAAGGTAGTCATTACCTACATTTGAGGATAAAGATGAAATGACATTGAATATTTTTTACCCCACCCACTTTCTTAAGGTAGTTGCTGATGTTTACCTTTGTGAAGGCTACCAGGAAACATCATGTTCACGTTCACTCACCTCTTTCTTGGTATCTTGCTTTGTTTGTTTGTTTGTTTGTTTTTCCTTTTCACCTATTCGAGAGAGAAAGAGAGAGTAATATCACAGTCCTGAGCATGGAGGAAGGTTACAGAGTCTGTTTTCTTCAACTCATGAAAACAAGGATCCCTGTTCAACAAACCCTGGCTTGGTTCTTAATCTTGGACCACGGCAGTAGAGCTGAGTTTACTAACCACAATGTCTCTCCTTGGGAATCTGAGCTGATTCCTTCAGACTATTTGTATAATCACTGAAGGAAAAAAAATTAAGTATTAAATGACCTTTATATGTGTATTAGTAAAGTTTTTAGTATGTTCCAATTTGTTTAAAGTTCAAATCCTCTTGCACGATCACTGTTACGTACTGTTACCATAGAATCATGCACAGATTTGCGATCATTTTCCAAGTTGACTTTTTCATTTCTTTTGAATGATACTCTTGGCTCCCTTTTCCAGTTATCTTGTAAATTAATAGATTATTTTACTATTAATATTATGAATTTTAACTACTAATATATTCTGAAAACATTTCCCCATATAATTTAACTAAGAATCCTCTCTAAATTCTAATTTCTATGTTTCTTCTCCATAACTTCACAATCCAGGAAAATATAAGTGTACTGAATTTTGATTTTTTTTTGAGAAAACTTGTTAGTTTACCAAAGGAGAATATTTGTATATTTTGAATTTTATTGTGAGCTCAGACAATGCCAGGAAGGAAGTGGGAAGCTTCAAGCCACACAGTGGTCAGGTCCTGAAATGCTGTGGACTAAAAGTCAAAGCCGTGCTACAGGGCTCCCATTGCATCCTTGCTGGGTCTATCAGACATGGCTGAACCTAACGCTGGCATGATTTTTCAAATGTAAATACTGGCACTTTGTTCTAACCTCTTTTCTCTTAACAGGTGTCATGACGGATGAGACTGAAGATCTCAAACCAAGTGATAGTTTTTTAAATGTAAGTATTTTAATTTAATCTTGCCTACTTTGATATTGAAACATATCCTAGTTTGTAGTCTTTTGAACTATGTTCACATGGTATGAACTGACGACGTTATTCTATTTGATTTTAAATTACATTTGATAGAAGAGTGATTAATAATCAGAGTTTTGATGATATTTGTATTTTTAATATTTTTCTATCTAAAGCAGTAGAAAATACTACGGCATTTTATCAGGTTAACACAGTATATCTGTGATTTTTTAAATTCACTTGATATTATTTCTAAAGGAAAGTAGTATTTTCATAAAGAGTATTGACTAAATATATAGGGGAGTAATGACAGAATTAATCACATATGTTTTGATCAGTTTTTTATTACAATTGATTATTGTATGATGGATTTCATCATAGCAAACAAATTTATCATTCAGTTTTCAGAACTGATTAAATATAAAAATGCCTGCAAGTAAGAAATCAACTTGATGACTTATTGAGAGGAAAAAAATAATAACTAAAGCATTATAACTTTTACTCTATCTATTTAAAATATGAATTATTTCTGAAGTTACACTTACTGACTTGATAAATTGTCCAAATCCATATCCAGTTCAGTTCAAAAGAACATTGTCTTCCCTGTGCACTGTATTATTTGTATATATCAATAAAAAAAATAAAAGAGAGAGTTCTTTGGTCTTCTGACGTTCGCATTCTGATAGAGGTGGGCAGGTAATCAGCTATAAACACCACTAGATGAATTGAAGAGCATAGTAAAATATTAGCATGTTTGGGAAAAAATTGAAAAGTAGAAGACAGCAACATTTGGGGTAGAGGAAGGAGAAAGGTTACTGTATTAAATTAAGATAGACCTGCTGGAGAAATTGATTTAGGCTCATTTAAAGAGGTAGGAGAGTTAGCTAACTGGAGTTAGGAAGCCTCTCCAGCCACATGAATAGATAGCTAGTCACAGGGGCACCGACAAGCTTAACCAAGGCTGAGGTCAGAAGGAATATAAATGAGTCTGGTCTGTAAGAGCTTGAGAAGTAGTTATTATAACATCTGCATAAGAGTATGATGCTGTACTCTCCTTGGGCGGAATGGCTTTGAGTGGAGCTAGAAACTCATTTGATATAAAATACTCGAGTAACTGAGCGAAGATCAGGCTTCGGGGAAGCCCATGTTCAGTGACATTGCACAACTCATACAGAATTAACCCCCATAAAAGTTATAATTATTGATTCTGGACAAAACCAAAGAGTTAATCTCTACAGAGAACTTGTTTTAAAAAAAGAAAGGGCATTCATCAAGGCAGAAGAAAAATGGAGCTGGAAATCTGGAATGTATTCACAGAGAAACAGTTATATTGGTGTGTGTTTTCCCAGAGCGCATTCTCCCATAGATATGAGTTATTAGAACCAAACCACTTTGATTAGAACTGTTGGTAGATGAAATTTGGCATGCCAAAGAAGCTGAAAATTAGAGGAGGAAATCTTAGAATAAATGGAACTCCAAACAAAATGTTTCAAAATTGATACATATTTCTTTGAATGCTTTGCTGGCTCCAGAAGTGTGGTAAGTCTTCAGTATCTTCATTAGGGAGCTTAGCTACGGAATTATTTTAACTCCAGACATCTTTACAATCAGTTCTCTCCTATGCTTCTTCACTTCCTTCCACAGCTTAGTTTGCGAGCTCAACTTGGTGCAAAATCAGAACAGTTGCTTAAAAAAGGAAAGAGCATTCCAGACATATTGCTGGTTAACATCATGGTAAATGCTATTAAGTATGTATTGCAGTTTCCTTTCTCATGCCTATTTAATATATTCTTTTTCCTGCATGTATATGTATATGTGCTTATATGTGACTTATGTGCATGTGTGTGAGAATGTATAAGCAAATGGTAGAGGCCTAAGGAATTGTCATCTGGAATTGTCTCATTTTTCTTTCATTACCCTTGGAATAGGAGTCCCATTCAAACACTGAACTGTACATAAATGTTAGACTCCCTAGCCAGCCTACCTGGAGACCCCTCATCTTCAACTTCTGAGGATAGAATTATATAGTTGGGTCCGCAGACCCAACCAGCATTTACATGAACATTGAGAATCTGAGCTCCAGTTGTCACGCTTGCAGGGCAAACACTTTAGTTGCTGAGCTAGCTTCGCTACCCCGTTTCATATACTGTTTACCACAAAAAGATATGTGAAAAATAATATAGAGATGCAATCTTTCAGTATTCAAATGCTTCTAATATCTAACTTTATTTCTAGGTTAAAGGAAAAATATATAGATCCGCATTCCTATTGTCTCTCTCTTCTCTGCCCAATCTTGACTTTACCTGTTGTAAATGTAGATCAACTACTAATATCTTTGGGGAATTCAAGGAAATTGGGAGATTAAATAAGCCGAAGGGCAGGTTGTTAGATTCCAACGGGATGGGCACAGGTTTCTGCATTTGCTTGTGTTACAATTCAGGAAGAGGGCAGGGATAGAGTCCAGGGATTCAGAGGCTAAGCAGCACTACAGCAACAGGCAGTGATACACAGGTTAGACAAAAGACACAGGCAGGATATGTGATAGGGGAGAAGGGGAAAATTTCAAAGATCCCACATATTGTATGTAATTCCTCTATCCTCTTTTCTAAAAATTCCTTTCTATCCTTTCCATAGATTCCCTTCTACAGATTCCTTTCTATATAGTCCCCTCAACTTTGCTTTGTCATACATGTATGTTACAAGAGGCCAATTGGTCTGTATAATAAAGGAAAGAATCTGCACATGATGGGAAAACAGAGTAGAAGGCTCTGTTGAAGGAACTGGATGGTAGAAATGGAATTGCTTAACTGCAGCGTGTGGGACCATTATGACACCAGAGGAGGGAGAGTTTATAGGATTTTACTCTCTGTCTGGGATGAGCTCCTCTATAATGTCATCCTAATAGACCGCCTTAAAGATTTAAGCTGCTTCTCACTGAAGAATCTAGCAACTGGAACTCAGGGCTGCTGTCCTTGGGGTTGGAAGGGTTCTTATCCTCACATTACTCAGAACTAACTTAAAGTACATTTCCCACAGTGCTCTTTGTTTGTAGAACAAATGAACATGCAAAGCAGCAAGCAGTCCTTCACTTGAGCTTCAGTGGACCTGGAAGATCCACACTGCGCTGCACGATCACCCTCCAACCACAGAACACCATTTTCATTTCCTCTGAGATACCTCCAGAGGACTGTCATTAGCCGGAAACCTTTTGATCTAGTCCAATGATCAAAGGAACACTAGATGTTCTAGTTAGATAGTTGTGCCTAACTAGTGATGTAACAAAATCTAAAGTAAAGCCCCACGGCTCCCTGATGTCTGCTGTCTCACTCTAGCTTTGAGCGAGTGTAGCTCCAAGTTCTGTCTCTGTTGTGGCGTCTGAGACGGCAGATCTCAGAAGAGGTCAAGCGTTAAAGGAAATCTCTTCTCTGTCCTAGGCAAATGAGTTAGTGAGTCCAATCTATGCAGAAGGCTTGATCTCTCTCAGGAGAACTCATGAATGTAAAATGCACTCCTTTTCTGCTCATGATAACCTAGTGGAGGAGATAAAGGCGGTTTCCAGAAGGAAGTTTGGAGCTGTGCTGAGAATCATTAGACAGAAGGCCATTTGCAGTTTTATGCTTATGAGCAAGCAATGAAATCTTTCTGAAACTTAGTTCCTGCTTCTTCCTGCCACACTGACATAAAAAGTACATGTAGTCACTCGAAGACTTAGGAACTTCTGGGGAGGTGATTCTATTGTTTAATATGAGAGCTAGCATAGCAATAAATAAAGTCATATCTTTAAAATATAAGTAAAATATAAGAGGAAATTAAATTTTGCTGGTATAACAGAAGAAAGTGGATACTTAAGTCCTTTAGATGTAGTGTGCACACTGTCTATCGAAGACAATGTGCTCAGTGAAAAGAAAAGCTTAAGATATGGTTCTTAATACTTCAGAAATTTATAACTCAACTTAATTAATAAAATTTTTAAAGAATAACTTTAATTTTATATCAAGACTTATTTATTAATATGATGAAATTAGTAAGACCCTAAGGAGTTAAGATCAGCCTGGTTTAGGAGTGAGTATGGTGGGAACGCCCCTCCAGGTTGGCAATGAGAGTGTGTGGAATGGGCTAAGATCTGTATTGTATTTATTAAATATGTCATTTCTGTCATCTACACAAATCCCAGTGAGATATTTTATAATACCCCATTGTTTACGTGAGGAACTTGAGGTACAAAAGAAGTGCAGCCTATGAGCACAGTGTAAATAATATCACATGTATGCACATAGTAGTGAAGATATCTGCTTGTAAACTTTTGAAACTGAGAGAGTTTAGAAGTTTGGGAGAAATAAGTTGCTGTCATTTCATTTTAAAGAGGATGTAAAGGCTTCTCAATAGATTTGGAGGACAGCAGGGACCCACAGAAGGATTTTTAAGCAAGTCAGCAATCAGTACACATTGGAAAACCTAATATTTTAGCTATAAAATCCTGAAATTCCTGCAACAGGATGAATTTGCAATGAAGATAATGGTATTCATTGTATTACTAACTTCTGTAAAGTAACAGCACCTATCAACATGCTAATCAATTGTGCTATTTGAATTTAGAGAGATACCTGCTAACCAAAGCTGGGTTATTGATGGGTTTCCAATGACATTAAATCAAGCTCAGCTCCTGGAAGAAGCACTGACAGGCTACAAAAAAAAATTCATGGAGGCAGAGAAAAGGAAAGCACGAATGCCCACACTAGCCCTGGGCCCGACACCTTCCAAGGAAGCCACTCCTCTCCCATCTGCATTCGATTTTGCCATATTATTAGACATTTCAGATAATTTATCACTGGATCGCATGAATGATATCATTGGTAAGTTGAATACATTGATTTTTAATCTTTACAATTTTTCATAATTAAAAGTGCTTTTAAAATTTGACTCTATTTTTTCTTTTCTTTTTGTTTTTTTTTTGTTGTTGTTGTTTTTGCTTCTGTTCTTTTTTTGTTTCCTGTTTTCTTTAAGAACAAGAGAACATGAAGTTGGGTGGGTCAGAAAATGAACAGGATCTGAGAGGACTTAGGAGAAGGGGAAAACCATGATCAAAATATAGTATATGAAAAAAATTAAAAATTCTTCTGTGACTAAGTGAATAGTTCCATTTACAAGTGTAAGGGAGAATCCAGTTAATTGGTTGTTCAAAGAATTATCAAACTGAGTTCATTGCCCCTTATTTTAACTCTAAGTATTGAATATTAGTCAAACCTGGGACTAAGGGAGAATTACACATCAACTATAAGCATTTTGCTGAATCTTTCCATCTGACAGTTTTCCATGCCAAAGTTTCCTTTGTGAGATTTGTGCACATGGAAAAGCAGTTTGTAGCTAGTTCATACAGTAATGATGCTGACAAACCTGCATCTATGTTGTATGTGAGGAACTGGCAACATCCTTTTTAAGGTGTGTTCTAAGGAGCAGGAAGAAATGACTTGAAGTACTCATATGGTGGACTTGAATATTATTATCAAAACACGTGATTTATTTGACTTATTATAAAAGTGAAATCATTATTTTATTCTATGTAATAATATTTACCAGGGTAAAATTACATATTCCTAACCCTTAGTTTCCCATTTAAAAGGTACTTGAGAATCTTAATTAATTGTGATTTTTGTTGTTTTGTTTTAAAATATATTTTATTATCTACTGTTTCCTTTTTGAAGTGAGGTCTCATTTTATTGCTTAGGCTGGTTTTAAACTCATAGATTCAATGATCCTCTGACCTTAATCTTCTGAAACCTCAATTTCTCATCTTATAGAGTGAAAAAGACTATTGTGTTATCATAGATAATGAAAGAAATGGAACGTAAATATCTAGTCTAGTATATAGTAAATGTCATGGACATTGTGGGAGACTTTTAAATGAATAGAAGATGACTGGGTACTTTTTCACTAGAGACCTAGATGTTCTCCTAGATGTTTTGGGACAACTGATTCTATTATGACTAGTGTCTTTGATTTAATTTTTTTGTAAATTAATGCAAATTTCTTCTGTTTATAGTCAGCCTTATGGATTTTCTTCAATTGAGACAGAATTTCACACTATCAACAGATCACTGCAAATATAGTTCTCTCTAAACAGTAACTACTCCCCCCATCCATTAATATCTATCCCCACATTGCCAATTCCTTGTAATGGTGTTTACTCTCTTTTGGACTGATCGTAATACCTTAACAGTTATCTTATTAACTGACAAATTGAATGATTTCTAAAACACAGTTTATTTCATGAATTTTGTTTCAGATTAATTTTTAAAATTTATATTTTACCAAAAGATGCCATTAACCAATATTTTGTTAAACCTGCCACTATTAATACAGCACCAAGAGGTAGCCCTAGATAGAAAAGAAATGAAGAAATCATATCTTGATTTGCTCCTTGTCTTTGTATCCCATGTCATTCTCTAAATATTTGCAGATAGGAAATTAAAGCATGAGCTCTTGATTTCTTCGAGTTCACACTATTTCTTAGTTTGAATGTAGATAATCTGACATTTTATTTTCATTTTTACTGAAATAAAATGACAATGGCTGAAGATTGGCAGAAAATATTGCCAAACCACTGCCATCAGATAGGAGAAACAAATCACATACATTAAGAGCAACATGATTAAAAACCATATGTAACAAGTTGCCATGAAGAATACACAGAGACCTTTGAGTGTAAGCTTCTGACTGTGAAATCCTAGGAAGGCTTACAATGATTCCCCGTTTTCAATAGCCAAGAGGTTTTGAAGAAATTCAGTTTGAGTCCTTACAATTTTCTGTCAAAATTGATAATGAATGACACTTACACATTTGTTAAACTTGATACTGGCATCAAACTAGTTTAATTACCTAATACTAGATCCTCAATTTACACTCAGTCGTCAATGTATTCTTCACTACCCCAGGAAAAAGTCTTTATCAAACTCTATGCACATGGATAAATTCTTCTTGTTCCTCTACACTTCTAAGTGGTCTTAAAAGCACATTATGGCTTTTATTTCAACTAGGTACATATAATACATTTCTGAGCTGGAAGTTAACTGTAACAAATGATAGTGTAATGCCATCTAAACCAAGAAAGCAGTTGTTAAATTTATGGTTCTTGTTTAAACTTGATCATGTAAATAATGACCAACTCTTTTATATTCTAGTAATTAAAATTAAAGTGTAATTTTCACATCTTAATTTTCATGTTTACTTATCATATAAAATATTTCACTAATTTATCCTTTTATCAAAATCTAGGCCCTACCTATTTTAGATGAATGAATATTCTACAATATCTCCATTCACATATTCATCTAATTTGCATTTGTGTTTATAAGTGCTAGATACTATTCTTAGCATTGATATTGCAAAAGCAAGCAAGTGGATCCTGCTTCCAAAGACTTTAAGACAGATATTTAGGATAAATTACTGTCCAATCTACATCCCAGAATAGAAGGCACCTGAGCCAGGATGTAGGAACACAGGATGTGAATCCTGCTTCAAAAGACTTTGGTGGAAAATAAAGAATAGAAATCAAGAGATAATGATATGGAGTTGTGCTTCCCAATGTTGTAGACACTAGCCTCATGTGAATGCTACATTATTGAAATCTATAAATGAAAATTTCAGTTCTTCAGGAACATTGGTTCCAGTAAATATGCCGATATGTCTAGTGACTGTCATATTGACAGAACTAATAATTGAATGGTTCCAATTTGGAAAGTTACATTGGGCAGCACTGAAACAGAGTTATGAGTCTATGTTGAGAGAGACATTTCTAGTTTTCAGGTGAGCAGAAATCATTCACCTAGAAAAGAGAAAGGAAGCTCAGTAAAGTGAAAAGGTAGACTTATCTATAGAAATGACCAACAGGTCTGAAAAGTATACCAGACTAACAGTCTAGCCTCAAACTGATGAGTTTGGGTTATTCTGAAGCTTTGTGAAGCCACCAAATGTTGTAAGGAAGGTGGCTTGTTTCCCGGCCACCCAGCATCTCAGACCTGAAATAATTACACAGAAATTATATTATTTAAATCACTGCTTGGTCCATTAGCTCTAGCTTCTTATTGGCTGTAGCTTACCGGGTAAAGTTCCAGCTTCTGTGCCTGGCAAGGTTACATGGCCTCTCCCTGACTCTGCTTCCTTTCTCCCAGCATTCATTTTAGTTTTCCCGGCCTAGTTAAGTTCTATAGGTCCAAAGCAGTTTCTTTATTCACCAGTGGTAATCACAACACACAGAGGGAAATCCCATATTACCCAAATGGCATCAAAGCTACGTTATAAAGTTAGTACTAATTTAATTTTTTTTCAAAAAGTTTATTAATTTATAAAAGTTTTCTTTTCCGCACCTCCTCCCAACACCCTCCCACTCCCCCCACTCCCTCTACTCCTCCCTCTGCATCCCTAAAAGCAGTCAGGGTTTCCTGCCCTGTGGGAAGTTCCTCCCCTCTCCCTCCAGGTCCAGGAAAGTGAGCCTCCAAACAGAGTGGATCCCAAAAATCCAGTATATGCAGAGGAAACAAGTCCCAGTGTCATTGTCAATGGCTTTTCAGAAAGACCCCGTGCCAGCCACATTCAGAGAATTCGGCCACATTCAGAGAATCTGGTTGGATCACATGCTCGTTCAAACCCAGTCCAACTGGTCTTGGTGAACTCTCATTAGATCAGTCCCCTTGTATCAGTGGGTGAACGTACTCCTCATGGTCCTGCCTTTCTTGTTCATGTTCTCCCTCCTTCTGCTCCTCATTTAGACCTTGGGGGCTCAGTCCAGTGCTCCAA